TCATACCGAAAATGTGGAGAAAGATGAAGATAATTCCTGTACCCAAGAAAGCATTTGGTGATAAGAATGTAAAATTTAGACCTATTGCAATAACTTCACCCTTCCTCAAAACCATGGAAAAATTATTAATTCTTCCACTTCAGCCTGCGATAAAAGAGCATACTGACCCATACCAGTTTGCATACAGGCGCAAAAGAAGCACTTTAGATGCTGTTGCAGTTCTGCATCACAACATAGTGTTCAACTTAGAAAAGGGTAAGAAGTATGTTCGATGTGCTTTTCTGGACTATACTTCAGCTTTTGACTCTATACCAAGACAACGATTACTTAACAAGTTAATCAGCGTCAACACTGACAGCTGGATAACCAACTGGCTATGTTCCTACCTCTCTGGAAGGGAACAATACACTGTGTTTGGAGGAAAGAGTTCAGAGTCTCTACTGTCTCATGAAGGTGTACCACAAGGAGCTGTTCTTTCACCTCTTCTATTCTCTTTTTTTCTGCATGATCTGCCATCTTCCACAGAAAACACTTTTGTGAAGTATGCGGATGACCTCACTGTATGTATGCCTATATCTTCCTCTTTACATCCCATAGAAATGAATGAGTTTTTGTCTCGTATTGATTGTTGGTCTGTTGGTAATGGTCTCATACTTAATCCGTCTAAATGTCAAGCTGTTAACTTTAGCATGAGACATAAACGGAATATAAACACTATTTTGAGATCCCATAGTGCTTGTACCATCGGAGACTCTTTGATAAACTCAGTGTCGAAGGTCAATTATCTTGGTGTCACCTTTTCCTCTGATCTGTCTTGGTCTTCCCACGTTTTATCGTTATCGAAGAAGGTTTTCCGTCTGACCTATTACATAAAGAGATTGCATGCTCTTGGAATTACTCGTCATTTACTCTTACAATTTGTCAATTCTTGCATACTACCTATTATTCTTTACTGTTCTCCATTATTCTTTCCCGGGCTTTTGAGAAAAGACTTTGCTGTATTGCGAAGAGTGCTGAAGGCAGTTAGCAAGGTGTGTGGTGAATCTTTCGAGGTCATAATTAATATGGTTGTGGATAGACATTTAAAATCATGCAAACTCCTGGCAGGTGTCATTTTATCAGATACTAGCCATCCCCTTCACTCTTATCTTTCTCCTTGTATATCTTCTGGTAGAACGAGACGTAATTACATTAAAATCCATGCACGCAAGCAAAAGTACAAATGTTCTATAATACCTTATCTAGCAAATATACTCTGTGACGAACAGGTTGTTAGAGTTAACCTAGCCAATAACCTGCATTCTTAACATGACTTTAATTTCAAATGTTGTACTGTTTTTCAGATTTTTTTTTTAAACTTTATTTTTTTGTCTTTGTTACTATTTTTGTTTGCATAAGTAACTTGTTGAAATACCCTGTGCTGAGAATTCTATATTGTACCAAAATATAATATTGAATAAAGCCATTAATAATAATAATTCTTACTCCTCCATTTAGTTGGACAGTGCATAAGCGACTGTCCATTAATTTCAGCTTCATTCGAACTTAGTACTACATCTACACCAGCGACGCTACGCAAAGTAGCAGTCTCAACGGCAGATACACAAAGAGTAAATATCCCCGGTTCTCTAAACTAATTTGGTAAGGTTAGGCGAATGGCCGCACTTGAATAATGTGTGCGTGTTTCGAAAAACGTATGTTAATGCCAAGGGATTTTTTGACAGTATAAGCTGCTTTTGAGTACGGACGCAAATACTTAATCAATTAATATGATTCGAAAACTGTAGATAATTTTCAATTTTATTGTCTATGATTACCACTCTGGTCAGTTTAATTCATTTACTTTGATGATGGAAACCACTTTGTAATTCTTGTAACTAAACTTTCACTTATTTATTCGCAAAAGCATAAGAATAATGAGAATTTTCACCCTTTATGTAATTTGATCAAATCTCCTAAACTATCTGGTTCCTCGGATGATAGAAGAGGAATAACCCTGAAAGTGAAGTAACCTACAAATCTGATTACTCCCATCCCATGTGCATCTAAATATTCTTGTCATGTTAATATCTTGCTTATAAATATGTTAACTTAATAATTAAAAACCTTTTATTGTGGCTATTGGCCTTATCTTTATATCGATTAACTCAAAGACCTGAGTCGATGATCCGGTCTCGTGAACAGTTATTACCAATGCGTTGATATATCGATCGATGTTGTCCGTATTTCTTTTTAACAATCCAACATTCATTCAAGTTGTGGGAACCTCTGTAAGTTTCACATTGAATTTTTAATATCTCGATTGCACTATGGACTACTTAATAAAATTTCTCAAACATTCCTTAAAGCTTCATAATGACTGACTAACCCCGATTAAACATATCAAGTTTTTGAATGACCAAAAATTATTTACTATCCTTGTTCTATATCGAATTTTCAAACAGGACCTAACAACATTTTTTTGTTTTAACTACTGTTTTCTCATATTTAGGTTATTGGCTGTCACAATAGCATAATCAGTTTATGTGAATGTCTCACACAAACCCTCACTCCAAGTACAATCGTAGCATGCATCCAGCAACATCTGCGTGTAGACTTTATCTTGAGAGAGGACATAAAACGACTGAGTTCAATGTATCCACTTGACTGGGATCCAGCTGCACGCAATCTTCATTTGCTAGCAGGTCAAGGGGTTATGGCGACAGCGACTATACATATAGCTCCGAACGGTTCAATCAGTCTTGTGAAAATTAGGAAATCATCTAATCCAGATCATCCCAATCCACATTTGGCAGAACCACGTAATTTTGTTCCACCGATTTCGTGGTCTTTAGATGAGTGGTTGATGGAAATCAATGACTTTTGTAACTCAGTCATCCCAACAAGCTAACTGACTATTTTCAATCTATTTATGCGATTCCATCTCAATTTTCTCACTCGACAATACCTATTTTTTAACTGTGAGATTGTTATTTCTAATGCTTTTAATAAATGTACATACCTGGTGCCACAAATTCATAATTGACTTCCATGTAAATATACTTTTCTGCACATGTTTACAGCCAAACTATAGTCTCTTGTGTATGGATACGGAACATCCAGCGAGGAATTGATGTTTACCGTATACTTTAATATGTGTGTCGACTGTAGTTCTAAGGCGGTTAAAAGTTAACTGCTGATTCGAATGACGCTTCATCCAATTTAGATATATGGTGTAATAGTTGTATGCAATAACAGATTTTACTCAAATTCCTTTTCTTACCGAAATTCATTTTATTTTGGACTACTTTGCGTGATTTCTGATAGTGATTGGATTCTGCGGAAATTCACTGATGTTATGAACTTGCTTTAATTCATAGAAAAAGGATCACCATTTGATAAGCAGTAAAAAAAATTGCTCCAGTATAAAATCTGGAGACCGGTAACTCTGGGTCATGAGAACTCGATGATAAATAGTTTTAGATCACATTGTTACTACTCGCCTTTAAAATAATATTTTCTGACGGTCAAGCTATCCAGCTCAGAGAACAAAACTTCAGCGAAATCACTCACCTGGGCCACAAATCTTCATTTCAACGCCCACGTAGCTTGAAACACTACAAATTTATATATGGTAACAAGTTGTCTCGCTATTTGTTTGTAAGGTATTACTGGTTGGCTATGTTCTTTTAAATCGTAAAACAGTCTGAGTCACCCTAAACATTCTTAGGCTCAATTCCAGCAAAACTGGTAGTCACTTTAGTACGTCTGAAAAGTTCTAAAGTTTCAAATCCTTATACAAAACTTTTGATGAAAAGGACACTTTCTGCTGATTTGTGGTAAGACTTGACAAGAAATCCAAAAACTTTTCGACGAAATGCTCCAGGCTGTTTTATGCACATTATGATATCATAGAGAGAATCTTTAGTAAGTTAGCTGTTGCGTGTGCTGGCGAAATTGTACGTTCTGAGTAATGGGATAAGTCAGTTTTTCGAAATAGATACCGAGTACGATGTATTATTCACTAGACCTGGTATTATGAATAAACTGGACTTTCCCAACCTGTGATGAATGGAATTCGGCAAACAGATGACCGTATTGCTTATTAGAATAAAATTTTAAAATTCGAGCTGTAGAAGGATAATAAGATATATAAATATATATTCAGTAGAAAATGTCAACTCAGAAATAGTCCTAAAATGCAAGGAATTTATCACGGTCAGTTTGCAATGGAAACAACAAAATTAAACGTTATGAACTAAGACGTACATTAAGGAGAGAGCTTGCTCTCTCCATAAACGTTTTACAAAAGTGAGGTTTGATAGTTTTTTGGATACTACTTGCTGTCCCTTAAGTAGCATGCGTGTTTCCATAAAACCGTACGTCTAGAGCTCTAAGTGCGGTTGAAAGGTCAGAGAATTCCACCTAGAATGATACATATTAGTAGCATATATGAATTGCAGGACCTTGAATGGATGAATGACGTCTAAACCAGCCTCAGTCTTCGGTCACTATGAGGAGTCTACATCGTCTATTGGATTTTACTTTTAAGGTGAAGGCTCATTTGTCCAATTCAAAAAAACCTACCTTAATTGCATCTCAAGGATGAAGGCAGCATTCTCACTAGGAAACTAACTAGATTATTTGAGCGCAGTAATTGTGTAAGAGAATTTTGTGCTACATAAAATGTAAAGCAGTCAGTTTCGTTCAATTAAGTTTAAAGTCAGGATCAAAATTTATTTTGTACATTCACATGGTCAGTCGTGAAACATTATACTCAGATAGTATATCTGGCGCCGCTCAAAATGTCTTTATAAAGGTGGATCACGTTAGTCATCTGGTGATAAGACCACTACGTACACGGCCCCGTAGCCAATAAGAAAATTCCTTTTGAAGTGTTTGAGCCACCTTCACAGCTTCTGTCATAAGTGGTTGTAGTCTCTCAACAGGTAACCAAGAAGAGAGACGTGTATGAAGGATTTGAGGCTGACCTTTCCACTGGCCTGTTTGCTCCTCTGTAATTACTCCGGAAAGCTGATGAAGACTGGGAGACAAACAACGGTTAACTGTGATATACGTGGGTTCTCCTCAAAGCGACAAAGGTCAGCGAACACATGTGAACCCCAAAGACCTGTCACAAGCACAGTAAAAAACCTTTGTATGATAAAAAGTCATGAATTCGGTGCACACAAATTATACATACACATTAACAAAGAGTCAAGAGCTATCTATTCAGGTGTTTCATATCAACCTGGTGAATTACTTTTGAAAGACAAATAAAACGATAATTGACCATATATCTAGATCTAAGATCATCAACGTAAGGTAGACTATACCAGTAATAATGATATATTTTTGAAATCCGAATGAGTAGGGAATTGAGTTTTTGACGTATCATGACTGTAAGTCACTTCTTCAGAAAACAAATAGGTAAAATAATCAAATTAACACAAAGTTAAATAGTACAAGGGAATATTTCAGTACAATCAAGGCCCAAATATGTGTAATTTTTGTAGTTACTGTATTTTTCCTTTTTATTCTTTTTTGAGTCTTCATATTTCTTGATTCGTCTAGATTTTTATGAATCAAGATAATGAATCCCGCTTTAACTGAAATAAGTTGAAGGTGGGAATATGTAATTCGGCGGAAATCCGAAGATTTCTGAGATCGTTTAGGTTATTGACATGCTTACGGAATTTTCCTAACAAGATTGTTTATTTGTGAATACATTTTTTTCAGAAAGATTTGTGATGCACGTTGAAGCATGTCAATAACCTGGGCGATCTGATAAAGCTTCTAAATTTCGCCGAATTACATATTCTCACCTTCAAAAGACTCAGAAAAGAATAAAAAGGAAAAATACATTAACTAAAATTACACAACATTAAGATGGTCAGACATATTTGGGCCTTGATTGTACTGAAATATTCCCTTGTACTATTTAATTTTGTGTTAATTTGATTATTTTACCTATTTGTTTTCTGAAGAGGTGACTTACATTGTCATGATACGTCAAAAACTCAATTCCCTACTCATTCGGATTTTACAAGTATATCATTATTTTGTTATTAACAATACATCCAATGTTCAAGTTGTTTGAAATTATCAAGAAAAACCTAGGTAGGTATTGGTATTGCATAGTCTGTCAGTAGTTCATTAAGGCTCATTGATGCTGAAATTTCACTGCAGATTCTTTGCTCCCACTACTTTTTAGCTCATTAAATGAAGAACAGAATAGGAAAAGTTTGCAAATGGAAACAAACTTCACACTCTTAATAACATTTTGAAACCAGGTTCTAATACTGAAACAAAAAACCTGCACTAATTAGTAAATGAAATTATCTGTCACCGGAGAACAGGGTTTTTAAGATATTATCAGTCAGTCAGCAACAAAGTAGGACTTCGTATGTATGTTCATTAGTTCGAGTTGCCGTACCGCATTAGCACACAGATACAATTGTAGATTCAAATCCTATAGTGGTGGAGGTAGTAAAAGTATAAGCAGTAATCGGAAACATCAGGGTTTGAAAATGTTATTCAAGGAGTATAATCCAGTGAGACAGATTTGGAAAGAGAAAAAATAAGGGACATAAAGAATTCAGATTAGAATTTGGTAGAACACAAAGAGTGTATGCACCTGCGCCATTGCAAACGACTATAAGCCATGTCATCCAAGGTCTCTAACCATCGGCTGCTGTCATCTCGCGGATCCCAACCAGGTAGTCTACACCTACCAACATGGCTCAGTCCAATCGTCAGTGATTTCATGTATTTGTGCCATGTTTTGACCTGGCCTCCCCTAGCTTTCTTCCAACCTATTCCTGTACCACTGGACATCGCACGTCGAGGCAGTCGGTCGTTGGGCATACGTAACACATATCCCAGCCATCTCTACTGATGAAGTTTCACTAATAAATCAATTGATTTGTTATCATTACCTAGTTCCCGTTTCCTAACAACTGCATTACTTACTCGGTGGTCTCAGGATACACGAGCAATGCTTCGAAGACACCTATGACCGAATACTAGTAACCTACGTATATCTTCTACTCTTACCGATCACTGCCGGGATGTTATAGGAAAGTATAAACATGGTAGAAGTATTAGGGAAGGTTTCTTGCAAATTCATAGAAATAATAAACATGTAATGTTGCTCACCAACTGTAGCTGCACTGACGAGGTAATCCATTTCAATTCCAGCATCAGTTAAGGCAAGTGTAGTTGCATTTACAGCACAAGCAAACTCAGAGCCATCTGACTGAATAACTTCAAGAAAAATATCTATTTGAGACATTGGGTATTTTTCTGTCCTGATGACACATGAAAATATCTCCTACATAGGTGTAAAATAAGATAATATCCGTCGTAAATACCTTAATATCATAAAAGAGGCGAAATAAAAATACTCGAAGTCCAGGATTCTAGAAACACAACTAAGAACCATAACGCGCAGGCTAAATATGAATCGGCGAAAAATGATATCTGAGTAGAAATTTCATTTCGTATACACCTTGAATAAACACATCTCATTTATAAGCATCCATTTTGTAAAATCTCTATTTCTAACCAAAAGCTTCATGTTTAATAAACGACTTATGCGGTTGTGGAACTTGTTCGAAAATACGGTGAGTGTCCATGCTCTAAAACTTGTTTCTTTCACTTCAGGAATTACCTAATATGTACAAACAATCAGTATATATGTATTTATACGACAAGTCATTTAAGTCCGCTGTACTTTTAGGGTGGATACAATAAAACATCACCAGATTGTGTGCTAGTCTCAGGTTTTGGGGAATGATTATTTTATTTGAACACATAAATATTGGTCCAAGGGGGCACCATAAATATATGCGCCACACAAAACAATGAGAATGGGAAGAGAAAAAGAAGGTAAGCTGCGTATAAGAAAAAAACAACAATAAAAACCACAGATTAGTGTATGGTAGTGTAATAATAATAACAATAATAGTAATAATAATAATAATGGGGGAAACGCAAAGGTACAACCAGATAGAATTCCTTCAGTTAAGGAAGTTACAACCACTTTTTATGAAGAAAGTAAAAGAAGGTTACGGCAGGATCGCCATTAGCTTCTATTCTGAGCCATATCTGATAACGTCTCTAGCCACTGTGTAGCACCATCTCTCGGACCCCAGCCAGAAAGTCGTGAAGGATCATCAGAAGCCAGTCCTTTGCAGCTTTCTTTCATACCACGACACCATGTCATGCACTGACCACCTCTCCGCTTTTTCCAACCAGTCCCAGAGTCGGCAAATAATGCACGACGTGGAATTCTCTGGGACGACATTCGTAGAACATGTCCAAGCCACCGAAGTCGGTGTTTCAAGATGGTGACACCAATTGAATTATCATCTCTGTGCCCGAACACACGATGCCGAACCTCTGCATTACTGACATGGTGTTGCCACTGAATGTCAGCAATCCTTCGGAGACAGCGATGATCGAACACAGAGAGTCGTCTAACGTCCTCAACTCGGAGGCCAGGTTTCACAAGCATAGAGCAAAACTGCTCTCACCGACGCGTTGTAGATCCGACCTTTTACAGCCAGACTAACATCACGAAGGCGCCAAAGGTGGCCCAGATTGGCATAAGCCGCTCTGGCTTTCACTATACGTGCATTGATCTCATCACTCACACCCCCACCAGCACTTATGCAGCTACCCAGATACACGAACTTCTCGACTACGTCTATCTGCTCACCATCCAGGGTGAGTACAGGATTAGAATCCTGCCAGTCTTGTAGAAGTACTTTGCACTTCGAAGGTGCAAAGCACATACCATACCTACGGACACTGATTGCCAACTGATTAAGTGCGGATTGCATGCCTTGGGCATTATCGCACAGTAAGACAATATCGTCCGCATACTCAAGGTCGAGAAGTCTTTCTCCAGGCAACAGATCCACACCACCATTACTTACATTCATCAGAGCTGTTTCCAGAATGTCATCGATGGCAAAGTTGAAGAGGAATGGTGAGATTGGGCAACCCTGCCTAACCCCACTGCTCGAATGGAACAATGGAGAGAGGTGGTTGTATGCCCTCACTCTGCCTGAGGTGTTTTTATATAGGGCTTTTAGGATGTTAATAAACTTCTCAGGCACACCCTTCTTCAATAGACAATCCCAGAGAACAGTCCTGTCCAACGAATCGAAGGCAGCCCTGATGTCAAGAAACACTACGATTGTTGGCCTTTGATAAGTATGGCGGTGTTCTAACATTTGGCGGAGGGTGAAGATATGATCAATACATCCTCGACCAGAACGAAACCCAGCCTGCTCCTCGCGAGTCAATCTTTCTCGGGTTTTGAACAACCTACGAAGTATGACGGAAGCCAATAGCTTGGACGCAATCGGAAGTAGACTTATCCCCCGATAGTTGTTACAGGAACGACGTGAACCCTTTTTAAAGATAGGGACAACTATCGACTCATTCCATGACGTTGGTACACTCTCTAGTTCCCAAACCTTTGTAAACAACGTCGTCAATTCCTTAGTCAAAAAGTCACCACCATCTTTAAAAAGAGCCGGAGGTAAGTCATCTGGGCCAGGTGATTTGTAACGCTTCAAGAGTTGGAGTTCCTTGCGGACTTTCGCCTCATTTGGTGGATCAGTCGTCACCGGCCATGGAGGGCAGGACAGTCTGACCGATGTTGCCGGAGCAGCAGGCCAGTTGAACTGCCCTTCGAAAAATTCTGCCCATCGTCCAAGACGTCGATGGATGTTAGTGATTGGCATCCCATCATCCTCGCAGATTGTTTCACTCACACCAGACTTCTTGCTGCCAGTGGCTCGGATGAGTTGGAAGAGCTTCCGGTAATTACCAGATGCAGCTGCTGCTTCCAGCTCATTAGCACGCTCCGACCACCAGGCTTCTCGGTCCTTACGCAAGCTTTGCCCAATTTCCTTACGTAACATCCTTCGTTTATGGTCAAACTCACGGTCACCCGGAGTAGACCGACGGGCTTCAATGAGTTGTAAGGAACCAGAAGAAACCCAGTGCTTATAAGCGGGACGTTTCGCAAACCCACAACTGACTTTACTCTCCATTTTCATGGCGTCATGCAATTGCAACCAATGCTCATCTATACTTTTCGGTGGAATGGTAGCTAGCCTAGAGGCTAGCTCGGTTCGATACTTACTTGCAACAGAAGTTGCAACCAGCTTGCTAACATCAATCCGTTGGTGGCGGTCACTTCGTTGGCCACTGAAAAGTAAGGCAACATTGGCGCAGACCAAGGCATGGTCAGAGTCCAGATAGGTACTCCAAAAGGAGCGGCAGTCTTGTACACAACCACGCCAGCGGTAGCTGATCGCGATGTGATCAATCTGAGTCCAGGCTTGAGATGCAGAGGGAGGACGCCAGGTGGCACATCGGCGATGACTGTGCCGAAAGTTAGTGCTAGCCAGAAACAGGTTGTGGTCTGTGCACAGTTGCAGTAGACGGTCCCCGTTATCTGACCTGCGACCAACAAGTCCCCATCGGCCACCTAAACGACTCTCTTCTGTGCCTAGACGCCCGACCTGAGCATTCAAGTCTCCGGCTAGTACTACAATATCTGTCGAACGCACTTTCTGGAGAAGAACAGTTAACTGGTGGTAGAATTCATCCTTAGGTAGAACCGAGTTTCCACCATAGGCGAGCTGCTGTATAATTCGAAAAATAAGGATACATAAAGCGGAATTAATTAGAGTAAATAAATGACGTAGTAAATAATAATAAGAAGGAGAATTGTTTGACTGTAAATCGAGGCGAGAATAGAGTTCTCAGTAAATACCACCATTTTCATTTTATTTTTGTGTGAGCTGTGATACTGCCCGGGTGCCCAGACCGAAGCAGGTGGTATTCTTAGGGGGCCACACCCCGAGCCTTCGACTTAAAGGTCTAACCCACAAGGCAGTGGAGCATCGTGAGGAGATGCAGTCCCATAGTGGCCGGTGACCAAGAAATTGGTTTATACGCCGTTTGTTCCCACAGGATACTGGAGCCCATGTGCACCATTGATTTGGGATCCGGTTAAAGCGTTGGACATTCGCTTTTCGTCCTCTTATTTCCGTAAACAACACCCTCGCCACAAGAAGGCAGTGAGTAGGACTTCCCTGGCAGAGGCTGTATACGCGTGGCCGTGTGAGAGTATTTCGAGAGGGCGGTCCACCCCGCTCTCGGCCATACCAGGGCATTTGGAGGAATGATGTTACCAGATGGTTTAGTGGTACTTTCTGCAACTTTACCAACCATCTAATCGTACTGAGTTAAGATCGAGAACTTTAGTCCTAGAGACAATGAATGATGGATTTATCATAGGGGTAGGTAATGTTTCGTTTATGTTGTAGTCAGAGAAGACGTTATTCCTACCACATAATATGTGTAAAACCATAAGATCCACCTGCTAATACTCCGAGATAATTTTAGGACGATTAATCACTGACCGGTGGAAAAAAGCTTCTCATCATAAATACAGAACAATCTAATCTGAGGAGTATGCTTCTGCTAACATGGGTTGAAGCAAACTAGAGAAACAATGATTTACCGATAAGTGCAATACGCTTATAGTGTCGACTATAAATTAAAACCAACAATAAGACCGCTTAAGAAATTTGATAGAGCATAACTAACTCCATTTACTTCCCAAGATAAAAACACGTCCAGTAGTTTTCTCACGTTCATGAGCATACTCATGAACTAACGAGGGACATATTATTGGAAAACCTTAAATCAACTATCGAACTATTCATAGTAAAAATAAGTTAGTTCTAACGAAAATTTAACTCAAGATTTTCGTCACCTCAATGGCAGTAGCAAAATCATTCGCTGATCTATCATTTGATGACAGTTTGCGACGTTCCCCTGAAGTTGATGCGAACGGAGGCTTGGTAAATTGGCACGTTATCGTTGCACCATCTGGAACACCATCACCTTTTGCTCTAGGAGCATGGGGCCCAACCACGGATGCAATCACCTTGGTATTTCCTGAAGTCGTTAAATTTACGGATTTTGGAAATCGATAATTAATATTACCTTGATGCAGAAATACAATCCCATCAGAATAACCCGAGCCAAACTGACAATCCACTCGTCTAATTTCATTTGGTCGGCGACCGTCAACTCTCCTACCATTATAAAATATTTCAGCCATCACACGTCCTTTTCAAAAGTTTCCCATTTCCCGAAGGACATACTTAAGTGTTTCAAGGTAAAATATCTGCCAAACCCATTGAATTTTAGAGCTTGTGCCTTGGTTCAAGGTAGAGGTTTAGATGATACTGAAATTTATGAAATACCTTTGAGAGATACTAAAGTGATCTTGAGAAACTCCAACCGCTGACTAGGGTCAGAATAGGATCATAAATTTGCGTAAGGAATAAGATTTCAGATTTGTGTAGTAAGAACAAAAGGCTTATGGCCCATGTTATTCGTTTTCTAGTGCATTTCTGTGAGTTTCTAGTCCTCTCTTTAATGGATCAATTGAATGAGCTGATACCAGTGCTACGGGTAACAGGTTCCAAAAATTGATGACTGTGTGAAAACCTGTATTTCACGGGTATTCCGTTGGTTCTTGGCTTTTCTATTTGCCCACGTTGCCCTTTGAGAATTCTTGTTCTGACGTGATGAAAAAGAGAGGATATATTAGGTTCGAAATCATTTCTTTGTAATCTAGACATCAAAATCAGATCACATCTTAATCTACGATAGGTCAGGGTAAAAAGGTCTAGCTTTCTAAACTGCTCTTTGTACAGTAAACCCTCCACCTCCAACGTCTTTTCCTAATTTCCTCTTCATCTCGAATCTAATTTATTCCCTTCTACAGTAGGATGTTGTTGATGGTATCCAGTCAACGGACATTAATAATCCGGCGTGAACAATTGTTCACAAATACTTGTATCTTATTGATGATGGTTGTGGTGGTTCTTCAGTTGTTAGCTTCGTACAATAGGACCGTCTTGACGTTCATATCAAAAATTCTTACTTCGATGTTGGTCGACAGCTGTTTTGGGTTCCATATGTTTTTTAACTATAGGAATACTGTCCTTGCTTTTCCAATCCTCACCTTTACGTCTGCATCCAATCCTCCTTGTTTATCGATGATGTTACCCAGATACGTGTAGCTTTCCACCTACCCCACAGTTCCTCTATCATGTGTGATTCGTTCAGTATTTTCAGTGTTGTATCCGAGGATATTGCTTCTCCTTTTGTGTAGTTTGGGACCTACTGATGCAGAGGCTGCTGTTACACTGGTTAGGTATATCTACATTTGTTTGTGTTTATGGAATACAACGTCCAAGTCATATTCAGAGTCCAAATCGTCTAGTTGCATGCATGCTGTCCATTGTATCCTGTGCTTTCTCTGAGATGTGGAGGTCTTCATAAATCAATCAATTACCGGAAGAAAGAGCAAAGAGGACAGTAAGCAACCCTGCCTGACTCCGGTCCTCTTTTGAAATGCATCTGTCAGCTGTCCTCCACGCATGATTTTGCAGTGTAGTCCGTTGTATGAACTCCGGACTATGTTGTCAAATTTCTCAGGTACTCAATAGTGTCGAATAAGTTTCCATAAGATCCTCCTATCTACACCGCCAAATGCTTTCTCACAGTCATGGAAGTTGATGTACAGTGGCGAGTTCCATTCATTTGCTTATTCAACAATTATCCGTAGTGTCTTAATTTGATCTTTGATAGACTGATCTTTACGGAATACGATCTTTTGATCTCGACGTTGAGCACCTACTGAGTCTTTCATCAAGTTCAGCAACACTTTGCTGAAAACTTTAGCTAGTACCAACGGTAGTATGATGCATCTATTGTTCACTCAGTTTATTAAATCTCTTTTCTTCGCTATGTTGATAAGATATATTTCTTTCCAGTTAGTAGGCGCTTGATTTTTATTACCATATTTCACTAAAGATAATGTGCAGCATCATTTCAGTTACTTCTATATCTAACTCTACTACTTTAATTGGTATACTGTCAGGTTCTGCTGCTTTCTCACTTCTGAATTGTCTAGCTACCATCTTGACTTCTTCGATCGTTGATATAGTGACATTTATAGGAAGGTCTGTAGGTGCTGCTTCGATGTCCGGTGGACTCTGTGAAAAGTTCCTCAAAGTGTTCTACCCATCTGTTATTCCGTTCCCGAATCCTACTTATAACTAGCCTTCTATGTGCTTGACTGTTCTCTCTCGTTTGGTTTATTTCACTGTCACTTTCTTTGTTGTGTCATATGGTTGTTCCATATATCCTTCCCTTGCAGCTTATTTCACTGTCGTTGCTAGCTCTTCCACGTATTTCTACTTTTTGGCTCTAATGCCCCTCTTCACTCACTTGTTTGCTTCAGTGTATTCGGCTTGTGCCTTGACTTTCTCTAATCTCGTTTGGATGTTAATAATTCCTATCCTCCTGTTCTTATCTTCTTGAATCTTGTCTAGGGTTTTGAAGGAGATTCATTCCGTATGATGATGTTTGTTCCGACTCGGAACCTTCTAACACGTTGAAGTTAATGATATCTTAATCCGTTTCCAGTTGTTCACCATAGTAGTTTCTTCTTCTTTGAATAGATCTTGTGAGGCTCGGAACTTGTCGTTAAGATCTCTCGTGAATTCGTTGACTTTATCAGTATCTCGAAGGGATGCTGTATTAAACTTGTGTAATGCTGTTTCTGCGGATTGTTGAGTCCCTTCCCGGGCACTTCGTTTCGATTGATTACAGACTCATATAACTAATCTTCATTGCTATTATTGGTGAGTGCATAGCACTGGATAAAAATCATTGAGTTACCTATCTTTGTTTTGAAAGATTCTTTGGTGATCCTGAATCCATGAAATTTTCATCCTATAAGTGCTTTTCTCTCTTCTCTGGACAGCATCAGAGAAACTCCCTGAGTGTGTGGAACATTTTCTTCATTGTAAACAGAGTACAGTTGGAAGTTTCCTTCATTTCACCTTTCCTATCCACTTTGGGTTTAATGGGTTTCGCCGATTCCGAGTACTGTCAAGTTGAATTCCCTTATTTCTGTCCCTGTTTGACTGGTCCTCCCAGTTTACCATATTGTTCGAATATTCCACGACCTATGTCATTTGTTTATCTGGTTGCTGGAAGAAGCATTAGCCTCGTGGCTTCCGAAGAATATCGGCTTTCATCACGAGGTGTCTTCATTCTTCCTTCAGCCCCATTCAACAGTTTAATTGACTTAATTTGCTCGTTAGCGTCTCATTAAAGTTGTTTTATACGGGATGGAGTTTCTGGTCTTTTACCCGGGCTTGGAACTGATAGCAACCCTACAAGAGATAGAAGCATAATCCAGAGGATGGGAGTGATATATACATGATTAAGAATTCGTGCGTTTTTCGGTAGCCAATACATTATCTCACTCACTCTTGTGTTCTCGTTCGAACAGTCAATAATGTGGTTAGTTCGTAGTACACCGCGTATCAGCGTCAGATTTTGAACAGCACAAGAAACAACAACAATGAACACTACTGGTTTGGTCATATGGGTCAAAATATACCACCTCTGGAAACATGTGGTTGATAGCTATTTGCTCCCAGTAACTGAAGCAAATCATGGATATATTCCCATTCTCCCTCAGTACTTCCGCTTCTGTTTTTGACTAGATGATCCGTAAAATACCGTTGATATGTTTAATGTATTGATTAGATTAATTGGAACGTAAGTCGAACAGCCTGGATACAATTGTGAGCGAATTTGGCAACATCGTCCTTGGGGGACGTTCAAGATATGAGACATCGAACGCCACGCACTGACGTATTACTGAACAAAAACGGTCTCCAATAAGACTACTTACTTGACGTCAACTGTCATCTCGAAGGATCTGCAGAAATATATCTTTCTGTGCAAGGGTGGTTGTGTTGAGTTTTAATGGAGGTGACCTTTAGCTCATCATCTACTGCACGGACCTAAAGTCCGGATTGACAATTATAATACAATAATAATATATTACAGATAACAATATGTTATATGAGGCATGCCAGTTTACAGGCAAGATCAAGTTGTTACAAATGCAACGGGTTTTTACTTTACTATGTTACTCAACTATGTTGATATGTTATAGTGCACATGGGCAATATGAATAGGGGATAAACTTCAATATAATCGAATATTAACTTCGGTATAACTGTGATGTTCAGTATGAGAGTTAGTGCGCTTTGTGGGTGTTGCTTTTTGACAAGCAATTCGTGATCGAGAATGGGTGGAATTGAAATCCAGAGCAGTCACTCGAAGACGTTAACTTGAACGTATTGATTTGTACTTCTGGATAATGATCCCAGATGAATTCCGAAGGTATAAGCGATGGCGTAGAGCAAAGTCGGGTGTTTCACAAATATATTCTGTGGTATACTATGGTGCTGAAAAAGAGTGAGAACAAGGAAAGGGAGAGAAGCAGAATCCGTAACTTTGTGTCAGTAGTGAAACAATCTCATTCCCAATCGTCTTTGATTATGCACTACTTTATCGTCAAATTCTCAAAAGTCTGGAATAATTTACCACAGTCTGTCCGAAACATGAGATCACTCCCATCCACTGCTCACTGCATCGACGCTTACTTCTCTAAAAATATCTTGAATATGCCTACATCTGTAAGTATATTCCATCACTCAGGCTACATTATGGGAACTTTAAGTGTTTAATCGCTTTTATTACTATCGTCCCTGGCATCATTAAACAAATTGACCAATATCTAGCATATCATAAAATAAACTGACACATGTATTATGGCACGCTTGACCTGTATACTAACATTGATGCGGCAATCGTTGATTCCAGAATACATTATGTAATCATTGCAAATTACGAACTTTATTTCCCAGAAGTGAGCTGAATGTCCTTTGACAGAAAGCCTTTAGAACGCGTCCTGTTCCAGTGTTGGTACAGATACATGCACTTCCTATACAGTAGCACGACCACTCGATAAAAATGAAAGGACCTTTATTATGCTGAATTCAACCACATATAAATGTATTCACATATATATGTTTCACTCAAAAGGTCAAGCGTACCAGTGGTTTATGTCTCATACCTTGAAAATAATGGCCGATGAAGCGGTTCGTACCCACCTAATGTACTAGGGGAGCATACAGAGTTACGTGAGGAGGGTCAGAAAAAAGAACTAAAAAGGTTAGTTGATGACTCAGCAGACCTACACGGTGCACTAACATTTGTTAACAAAACAATCGACAACAATCGTCAACGACACAAGCGAAAGAATAACACACTGAAAAGCGAAACTGGAAGTAGATATTTCAACCCATCAACGACGATTTTTGTCAAATCACGTATACATAACCGTTGGTGATTTCTAACTAGCGCAACTTACCAGTTTCCGCAACAATTTTACCATCGTTGCAGTTTGCCAGGAAGGAAACAATACGCTTGTTAGTCCGGAATGAGGTAAACGACAACTAGACTTTTATTCTTTCCTATATTCCAGTCAACATCACTTCAGTTAGCCTGTTTCTTGCAAACAGCTCTGTTTGCGAATTTTATTAATACCAATATAACAAAAGATTTTTGGCTTTATTCAAATGAGCCTGTGACTGAATGATTTTCTGTTGTTTGAGTAGCACATGTAGATAAAGTATATGGTTGTGTCGCCGATCTTGGGGCTGAGTTTGTCATCATTATAAACCGAGTAGCCTTTCAGTTTAACCTGAGTGTCATTTACAAAGTAACTCATAGCTTTTTTGACGATAGTGCGTCAGGATTCTCTTTGCCAACTATTGTTTCAAGCATCGCTATTATTTCTCGAGCTGTGAGGATTGTGAAAAAGTCTTGATCTATCGAACAGTTCAGATTCTGAACTTAATATGTTACACTTGTTTAAAATACTATCCCCTTTACGAACTACAGTTAAAGATGCAAATGATGTTTTTATCTCTCACAATCCGAAATGCCTTCCGACTGATAAATTTACGTCGTTTGGTAAATTTCCTATGGCAAGGCTGTTATTCGGGGATGACTTCCAGTTGCACTGGACTAAGTTCTAGTTTCGGATGACCCGCGTCTCACTCATAGGCTAGAGGTCTATCGGAGATATCACTTGTATTACTGCCTACACTAACGACAAGCTTAATCTTCTCGCTTTTCGCCTACTTGTAGTGAAAGTTAGGGTGGCAAATTATTCTTAACTGTTTTTCGTAAAACTTTTGTTAGCTAGCACTTACGAGTGAATCGTCGTTGGATCGGAATGCACTTGAGAGCGTATCAATTAACAGTTCGATTCCTATTTATCATTATCATTAGCATTTAGACTCCACGTAACTTCATCTGCTTAAGTCAATTCTTACTCTGTGCAATTGATTACGGACAACGATTGTTAACAATATAGTAGCATTCTGCCCAATCAGCCATTTGGTTTTGGTCCCGGAGTCTGATAGAAAGATTATCTAGACATTATCCGGTATTCTGAGTGCCGGTAGTCACTTATTCATCGTTGGTACCAGTACTTAGGGAGTAAAGTCGGAATCAGTTTTGTGTCTGTTGTCGATTGTAAGTTGTTTTGAAGTCCCACACATCATCACATATCTGGTGCCACCATAAGCCTATGGCATCAAAATTCAGAGAGAAACGGCAGAAACTACCGAAACATATAATCTTTTGCACGTCTTAGATAGCGTGGTGGGCTTGTCTAAATTTCGGTTGCTCCGTATTAACTTGGGCAAGTTTGTCAAAATTCACATTTAAAATGAAATTTTTGTAACCACAACAACAATATCTCTAGCTTAGACTCATGATAACCTAGAGGCTGAAGTAGGGGATGACATTAGGAAGACGGCTCAGTATCGTTTACCTGCATCAAAGTGGTTTGGAATTGTATTGTCTGTAAAGTGTGATGACAAGATGAGACGTCCATCACCACATTAACCCTCTTTGACTTGTATGAATATGCTTTACTTATTCATCAGTCATAACTTTATGTTTATCATAAAATGATATTTAGTTTGTTGATTTAATGTTCCTATCCTCTTGTTGCTGTCCGGTTTGTTATTTACGTCTCTCGTTTTTACTGTTTAATAGACTATGTTAATTGTCTATTTGCATAACAACAGTGTTAGTTCAGGTTTTAGAAACAGATGAAGTTTATCAAGCCAAATAGCTTACTTGTTCTGGTTTGAGCTCAGCTAAGACTATGCTTTCGACAGTCTAGAGAATAGTTTAGAATTACATCTGTGAAAAATTACTTCCTAGAAAGGAATTAGGACGAGGCTTCACCTAGCCAGATTCAAAGATATTCACCATGACTTACACAGTTCTAGTCGGATGTAAATTAGAAAACTTGGCGAAAGACGCAAGATTTTGTCTCAAAACTGGCTCAGATCTCTTTGAATAAGTCGAAACAACAGCTGTCTGAGGGGTTGCAAAGTTACGTAGTCCACCATATGCAGTGAAGCTTGAGCAGTAAAACTGCCTAACGTTATGAACTGAAGATTAAAAGTTGATTTAGCTATGATTTATTGAATGTTAGGTCGCTCGGTCAGTATTCTCAAAGTCAGTATTCGTGAACAAAAGCAAACCACTCAGTCTTCTAACAGTCACCAAACTAAAGTGTAGGAACGAATAGATGTGATACAAGTTTTTGTTAACGATTAGAATCCCCAATCACTTGAGCATAGAAATAACTGTTTAATAGCTGAATTTAGAAAAGAACGTTCAAAAGCAATAGCAAACAAGAACAATGTCAACACTTCTGTTTAATATTTTCCCTACCGATTTTCTATCAGCTACGATAAATGTTGTAGCGGTAAATAAATCCCCAAAATAAATAGCTCTGTCAGTTTTCAACAGTGGATGCTGACCATATATTTTAGTGGACTCATCTAGCTGAAGGCGCTCAATCATGCTTCCTCACCAGATCACGTGTGGTGACGCTGTGCTCAACATCTACCGCAATCGCTAGTCAGATTAGATAAGAGAGTTCCGATATATTGGTAATCGCCAAATACACTCTTCCGATTTCCTCGACTCTGTCTTTTGATTTCTCTTGGTGAGTACGAATTATATTAGGTGTTGCTGGTAAAAGCGTTATCAAACACTGAATAACTGTGCCATCATCAATGTAAACACCAGAGATAGAAATTCATTTAATCGAACTAAACCAAAATGGATTAATGAACCGCAGAGATAGGAACTCCTAAACTAACTAACTAAAGCAGTAGTTCCAACATTGCAACTCCTTCGACGCTAGGACATGAATTTCGACCAGATATACTTTCTCATTTTCTCCCAATCCAATCAGGATGGGTCAAAGGACACAACAGGAGTGTTTGAAAACCAAGAAAAACGAAATACCACAGAGATAAAGGCTTTCTCACTGAACAGTGAAATCTTAGGAACCACCACCAGAAGAAATGTCCAGACGTTCGTATGTTAAACTCAACAGAAGAATAAATGGACACAGAAGATTCCAAGAAAAAGATAAAAATAGGCTATCTGTGTCTTAATCCCAACACAAATTTCTGAATCTAATCTGGATCTGAAATTTCAACATTACGGAATCGCAGTAACCAAGTTTCTACATAACATATCAGAAAAATCTTCAATGGTCAAACATGAAACTTACAATCTGTGCGTTTTAATTCTTTGACTTAAGGGTGTATAGTCGATTCTCATTGACCGGAAGTCCACAGGTTACATCCAAAGAGTTGTTATCTCTGATCTGAAAATTATAGCAACCACAGATATGGAGATTCTACCCAATAATCTTACAAATGGAAACTTAAGTGGATTTGATCACAACGCTGAAATGTAGTGACTTCGAATCTCCAACTGGAACAATGGGCTTGATACTCCCAGTGTCAATAATGTAACCATGAAAGGAACTAGTAAATGTATCTAATCGCTTGTAAATATGAAATGAATTGTTCGAGGTAGACTACAACGAAAGCATATGTTTGTTAACAGTATTACCTTTATTTATGGAATCCGAACAGTCATACACACGATGAAATGAATAGTTTGCCGTCCAGTCATACTGTGACTAATCTTGACGCATCTGATGCACTTGACATGACAAAATGAGCATAGTTTCGGCAGGTGAAATCTTTCACGTAGTAAACACTTACCAAGCTTCGACCCACCTTTATTTACAATTTTAAAATTCTTCGCTGAAATGTTACTTGTATTTTGATGAGAGTTAGCATCGTTATCAACTAAACACGGATTTATACGCTATTGAGAAGAATGTGATTTCGACAACCGAGAAATGTATTGCAAAATTATGTTCGTTACAGTTCTATTTCAATCACGCTTCATAAACAATATGTGGTTTAAAAATCAATATTGTGGGCTCGAACGTTCTGAAATGATGAATTTCGTGACTTTATCAGTTCTCATCCTAGATTCAAAATAACAGTTTCGAAGGTAAACTCTTAACTCAGTCGGACATGAAGCTGAGGGTATATGTCCGCTTTAATAGACAATAAAATAGGCTTTTCTGGGAAAGCCACATTTTGTACGAGACTGAAGGCATCATGGTCGACGGATGTGAGGAAACAGGATGTAATTTTATCCTTGACACATTTTCTCGCCGTACACGAAGTTCTAAATCGACCCGTATGGTGTTCAAAAACCACCACTTACATTTACATTACGTAGTTCAACAAAAGATTTTGCCCCGAAGATGGAACAGGTATTCAGTGTTTGATAACGCTTTTACCAGCAACACCTAATATAATTCGTACTCACCAAGAGAAATCAAAAGACAGAGTCGAGGAAATCGGAAGAGTGTATTTGGCGATTACCAATATATCGGTGTAGGATCCAAACCACGTTTGGACTGCTGGACAGCTGCCTGGATAAGTTCGATACGCGCCCTCGCCCGTTTGAAACCAAAACAAGGTAATTGGGTAAGATAGTGGTTCTAAACAAATATAACCACACAGCTATCCAACCAATAATTGTTTAATTGATCAAATCTAAACAATCACCACAAATAAATGTTATTCTATCCTGTCTGGATAGATCACGTACAGATTCGTTCAAAAGGTAATAATTGGTCGCTCTATAACACAGAGTGTTTTCAATTCTGGAAGAGTGCTTCAATTCACAACCAAAATGCACAATTCCAGTCAACACAGGTCAAGCAATCAAAGGCAGGAACCAACCAAATGGCTGCCGCTCAGACTTAGTACAAAGTAAAACAACATAAGTGCAGTTCGGGAAGAAACATGGGGAATTAGTGAAGGTGTGGTAAAAACAAAAACTATAATAAAATACAAAGATTAACAATTCAAATGTAGTCCAAAAGTTAACAATGTACAACTAAGAAGATCAATAGAACAAAGTGCAAGTATATACATGGAGGGATTTTCACAAACACACAAGGCATTCAAAATGGATCTTACAATCGGAACTCTCTTATCTAATCTGACTAGCGATTGCGGTAGATGTTGAGCACAGCGTCACCACACGTGATCTGGTGAGGAAGCATGATTGAGCGCCTTCAGCTAGATGAGTCCACTAAAATATATGGTCAGCATCCACTGTTGAAAACTGACAGAGCTATTTATTTTGGGGATTTATTTACTGCTACAGATCACTCCCCCCCTCTAGTGGAGTAGTGATGACCCTAAGACGTGGCCAGCCAGAAGTTTAAACCCAATGAATATGTCGTTGGTAAACACTCTTCTGATAGATTGCTAGGTTTAGCAGCGTCTGGTCGTCTTTCCTTACTATATGGGACCGAGGTACAACATAGTAAAGAAAAGAAATTGTACAATGAAACTTTCGGCTCCTCGTAAACTTCATCGTTCTTTTCCAGAGGTCCTGGAAAAGAAAAAAGAAAATGTAAGTGCATGTCTAAATACACACGTATATGCGTAAAAACACAATGTCGGCGAAAAAATGGAAAATAAACTGAAGCACACGTAATACCGTTAAAATTTTTTTATGTTTTTTGTTTGTTGTTTTTTGAAATAAAAATAAAAATATATAAGCATATTAAAATTGTTTTTTTAAAGATATTATATATCGTAAAAAGATAGATCGATATAATATGAAGTGCCGAGTATTGCCTTATGTCCAGTAGTCGTTTAAATGTTCTGGAAATCTTACTCTTCTTCCAGAACGCGTCGTTTTAAGTTTATTTTCAGATACATTCGGAGTATCATCGCTAGTGTTGGTTGTCAGTTGAGGAATTATGAGTGTAGGAGTCGTGTTGTGCGATTGTGCCGAACGAAAGTCGACGTGAACAGGATTTCCTTCTAAATACGCTGCTTTTAAGCGATAGATGCTGATGCTATCGTTTATTCCGTTCTTATCGACTATATAGTACTTAGATTCACGTTGAAGAACTTTGAAAGACCCTTCGTATGCTGATTCGAATGGTTGTCGATGTGAGTCTCGACGAACGAAAACATGTGTACTATATCGTAAGTCAGGTTGAACGAAAACAGTCGGTTGTCGGTGAAATCGTTCTTCCAACCCGTTTGCTTGTGGGTGGTAGGCGGTCGTTCGGAAGCGAGTGATTCCTAAAAGTGTGGTCAGACGACGGAAAAGTCCAGATTCAAACTGACGTCCACGGTCGATAGTAATAGTTCAAGGGCAACCGAAGTTTGCTACCCATCGTTCGACGAAGGTGCGGGCCACTGTTTCAGCAGTGATGTCCTTGATAGGTACTGCTTCTGGCCATCGAGTGAAACGGTCTACGCAGGTTAAGAGGTAAGAGTATCCATTTGAATCTGGTAAAGGTCCTACCAAATCCAGATGAACATGGTCGAACCGAGCATCGGGATTTCTAAACGAGCCTAAAATACATGTGTTGTGTATAATCACCTTAGATTTTTGGCAGCTTACACAGGAGCGTGCCCACTCCCTCACGTCTTTATTCATGCCAGGCCAGCAAAACCGTTCTGCTATAAGCTTGATGGTTGCACGAACACCTGGATGAGAAAGTTTGTGCAATGTATTGAAGACATTGCGTCGATAATGTTTCGGCACGATTGGGCGATCCCTACCTGTAGATGTGTCACAAAGTAAGGTTTCCTTACCTGTTCCCATCTGTTTGATGCGTAGCTTGAGTGTTGTAGACGATAACTCGTGCTGAAGATCAGTGTCTTCTTTTTGAAGCCGGGCGAGTTTAAGAAGGTCGATTCCTTAAAAACTGTTCAAGGAAGTTATGCGAGACAAGGCGTCTGCAACTACGTTGTTTGCTCCAGAAATGTGTTGAATATCTGAAGTAAACTGCGAAATGTGGTCCAGTTGTCGAGACTCACGTGGAGAGTACTTGTCTGAAGAGGAGCTTAAGGAGAAATTGAGAGGTTTATGGTCAGTAAAAAGAGTGTATTCACGGCCTTCGATGTAGTGTTGACAATGCCGTACAGCACAATACATAGCTAGGAGTTCCCTACCGAATGTGCTGTACCTCGATTCGGTGTCTAGCAACCGTCTAGAGAAAAATGCCAATGGTTGCCAGGAGTTGTTAACCCATTGTTGTAAGACTCCTCCGATTGCTGAGTCGGATGCGTCTACTGCGATACTAATGGGTGCTCGGATGTCCTCATGTGCAAAACTGAAGTCATCTTTGTCGACGAATGTGAGGAAACAAGCTGTTATTTTATGCTTGACACATTTTCTCGCCGTACACGAAGTTCTAAATCGACCCGTATGGTGGTCAAAAGTCACCACTAACGTTTACATTTCGTAGTTCAACAAAATTTTTTTGCCCTATATTACCAAAAACTTCCGACTGGTTGCAGAGAACAAGGAATATTGTTTAGTTATTGATTTTTAAAAGAAATTTGTTATTCGTTTGTATAAGTAATCGATCAAACTTTTGTTCCTCATGTTGATTAATATTCTTAGTAGGAACTCACTTATAAATCAGACGCCATTCTGAATTATCAGGTTTTCCTAAACGATCACTGAATAAGAGAAATATTCAGTCTTAATATTTTGTCACAATACTTTCATAATAAACATTTCATTTGATAAAATGGTTATTGTCTGTAGTTATTCGAACGCCAAATGAAATGCTCCTCGAATTACGGTCAGTTGATTTACTAGCCATACGTATAAACCTGAATTTTAGACACCCGTTCGTTCTAAAAATAGGATTGTACATTCTGCTAACACCATTCATGTACACGATTTAGTCACATAAATTGTCAGTCATTTTCTCAACATTTCACAGACAATGACTGTGTTCAATGAGACCGAGTACCGGCTTCCTAAATGCTTGTTGTTGATAACACGATCTCAACTACTGAAGTCACTGTTTGACCCCTTTATATGTAGATTAATGCCTGTCATAAATAAGTATTATTTAGACACAGGAAGGACAAAGCATTTGTCACCAATTTACCATTCTAAACAGTAAAGCGTCCTTGTTTTCAGACAGCAATATTATGAACTATTTTATTGTTCATGTCTGTATGAATAACAGAGTTGTTAGGTGCTCTATTGAGCTTTTCTTTAAGTGCTGCCAAGCTGTAAATGTTGTCACTTTTTATTGGCTACTGTTTGTCAAAAACCGTTATCAAATTGAGATCAAATGAATCAATAATTTGTTAGGTTTTAATGTATATATGCATCTTTAAGACTATTGTTTTTTGCTATCTAATACTATAATACCATGAAAATATTTTGCTTAAAGAGGGGAAGCTCACCTTTTAAATCGTGGGGTTTTGTTATTACAATTACTGGTTTAATTATCACTGTATTTATCTATTTGTTATCCATGACAGTGCTAACAAAAGATATAAAAAATACTCAAAATCTTCAGAAAGTAACCAAAGTTAGTTTATTTACTTTTTATTTCGACGTCTTTTTAAACGTAAATTTTTTCGCATTTGTACTATAATTTCGGTAGTTTTGATGGTTTAATAGACAACATCCAACTGGAACAGTAATATGTGCTTTTTGGAATTTCTAGATGAAATGTAGCTGTATTCAGTCACATTATGGTTAATGAATCGGTAGGCAGGAAACCGTGAACCTATTATAAACATATAACCATGTTTATATTTTAAGTGAAAGAATTTATGTGGTAAAGTTTTTTAAATAGTAGGAATTTGATTCTGGTGAGTTACTTTACTATAAGCTAGGTGGAGATTGAAAAATTGATAAGAGAACGTAAAATAGTAAAGGTCAATAATTACTTAATAGCTCATGTGTTCTTCAATATGAGATGAGGTAAGAAGTGAGTTAATGATGTTCAGACTTATTAAACGATATACCTCGATAACTATGTGTTTCAGCTTCTGAAGTAGTTTATGGATTTCTGATCACCTTTCCAAACATATAAATAATAATACTTTACTACATACTGGTTTGCTCCTATTTTTAGAACTACTTTCATGTTAATGAATATACAGATGAAGTCTTTGCAATCGAACCACTTATCTCAGAAAACACAACACGGCCAAATATAGTTAGAAATAAATATTTAGTAAATCATCGTCACTGTACCCAATATTACTGCAGAATAGGTGATACCACTCTCTAGATAATAAATACACTGTTTATAAACTCATGCTTCAGAAGAGTTAAATTTAAATGAACTAATCTCGAACTAGTCATATTTTACATAAATTGCGGGATACAAAATCTAAGTTGTAGTTTGGTTGGTGTTGACATAATTAAAGCTATTCACAGCTGTTCATCTATAAACGATGCCCAGTTTTTCAAGTTTAAGAAAAAATAAAATACAACGTTTTGCGAGTCTTATTCCTATGCTTATTTCATCCTTATTTATCGTATCCTATCACTATTGTTATCATTATTATTTTCAGAATAATAAAATTCATATAGTTTCACTGATTGAAGGTGATAAAGACTTCAATTATATAAATGTACTGATCAAATCTATACTGTATCACCAAAACGTTTTCATTGTCAAAATAACAAATGTTGTCTAGGTGACTTGTGCAAACGAAGCAAAACTGGAAACTTTCCATGTTCACATAAGAAAATACTGAAGACCGATGGTCCAATAACTTTCCATTTTATTACTGATAAACCTACACGACTGAAATTTCAAAAAATGGAACAAAGTTGGCAATTGATAAATGTGAAATTCCAATTTTACGAATACCAACATTATTTGGTTTGTTCGTTTGTTATCATTATTTTGTTATTTTGTTTGTGTACAAGTTATACCACTTGGTGAAGCGTATTAAAAGATACTTCACGTACAACTCTAATGATTACCATCACACAATTTTTATCATTATAATTACTATATCCAACTTTGTGATGTAAGAATGTTGGATATTATAATCCAATGATCAATACTTCAGTTGTTTATAATGTATTGAGCTGAGGTAAACATGCCTATTGAAGGTGCTCATATCCCTTTCTTAGCTGAGAAAATTGATAGTAAGACTAGGTTCGATCACGTAGAAACTGTTAATCTTTATTTTGAAAATTCACGTAAATTTGTCTAATACTTTGTTGAGTCTTCGTAAGTTTACATTGTTAAATGTAGAAAAGAATGAAACCAGTTCCACGTTTGCAAGAAAACTATTACTTAAAAGTACCATAAAGCCATGAGCATAAGAAAATGTTTCCTAATATTTTAAGGCACAATGATAATAAACTTATATCAATACTTAACCCTTTTTTTAGACCTATATGTTAGGAGATTGAGAGTGTGATTCAGACAGAAAAATGTCCTCTCTAATGCAAATGCTTTATTGTTTTACTTAACTATAATAAGTATACCTAATGATCAAGGGTTTTAAAGTTAAATCGTATATTCATTATAAAAGCATACCCTGTAAGAACACTGGAACGAGTACGATGAATCTGTAATGATGTTTTTATTTATATACTCAACCGTTACTAATCCGTTTTTCTTCTTGCAGGATAAAATTGACTGGGTTCTATCAAAACGTTCTTCAGATATTAAATCTTGTTTAAAATTATTATTACCCGAAATTCTATCGAAAAGTGTCAAACAGGTATTGTCGTATTGATGTTAATGTTTTAAAAATGTTATAAGTGTTTTTTAAGAAATATATGAAAGGATATTGATAAGCATTTTGATAGGTAATCATTCATTTACTTAATCATGATAAAATTCAGAACATTTCGGACAGTCCCTAGTAAGTCGTTAAAATAAATTTCGAATTCCGAACAACCACTGCAATTTCTTCTGACGAGGATAATCGTGTTTTAACTTACGTTATTTTATTTCCTCTGTTAGCGAGTAGATCGGATTAAATGAATTTGTTTGCTTATAAACCACCATTTTGGCAATTATGCAAAACAATTATTAAGTTTCATACACATAGCTCCTCTTATTATCTTAAAGAGAACAAGAACGAAGATTAGTGCAGAATAATATGAATTCATTTTATTTCGTTAGGTTCTCATCAGCTGCTTACAACCTAAATTATTTGAAATTCAAAATTATTACAGATATTTACATGCGTATACATAAGAGGGTGATTAAGGCTGAATATATGTATCATGATGTAGCGAAGATTTCAATTGAGTTAATAAATTCATAACAAACTTTTGTTTCAGATGAATAAAGTTTGGGAGGGAAAGTTCCAGAACATTGAAATAGTGATTAGAACTCATTAGATGATCGTGTAATGAAGCATCTGAAAGTAGATTAATGGTAATAAAGAAAGATATGAATTGAGACCAGCCAGCTATGAACTGAAGAAAAGTGACAATGATGTAATTTAACTTCAGGAGGAGTTGAAATAATGAATGACGTAATAAACAAAATGATGATTTAATGTTACCAAGGCAAAGGAAGATTTATTACTGCCTCCTTTTGAATACATGGATCTGGTTTTAGACATTTGATTGCTATCACTTCGGCAAATTTCAAAAGGTTGGAGTTTGATTGTTTGTTAATCACCTTGAAGGACTTTAGTGTATTGACTTCATGTCCTGTGTCAAGGAGATGTCTTGCGATGGACACATGTCCAAAACAACATGTTCTTTAACGCAATCAAAGATCTATAGGTATCCCTTTCACGTTACAACCAACTGTGTACAAATTTACATGTATCTGCGAAATCAGTTACATTGGTAGAATAGAAAGGAGAGCCTACGTCCGATTCAAAGAACATATTCCGAAAAGTTTAAGATTAAATGGATTAAAAGCATTCAGCAGTGCCATCGTAAGATATCCTTTTGACACAGGACATAATGTCGATACGCTGAAGTCCTTCAAGGTAATTAACAAACAATCAAACTCCAAACTTTTGAAATTTGTCAAAGCGATAGCAATCCAATGTCTAAAACCCGATCTTGTATCCAAAAGGAGACCTAAGGAAATAAAATGAATTCATATTATTCTCCACCAATATTCGTTCTTGCTCTTTTTAAGATGATTATTAAGTTCGTTGTGGTCAGTAATGTCTTTTATCCAATCGCTATCTGAACAAACTTCAGTTTCGGTCATAAGAAGTCATGTTTCATACGAATAACTTGGTTGTATTCTGTTTAGTACAGCAACAAAAGTAAGTTAATATGTATGAATTGAAGGTGAGAGATGAAGTGGTTGCCATTTTATACTGTAGATATTACAATTCATTATAAACAGTTAGCAGTAAATAAACCCTTTAATAAAATTACATGTCCTTATTGGGATGAACTATTGAAAAAAAAAAGTGAAGTTTAGGATTTACTTATTATACTTCATTTCGCGGGCGAACTTCATTGGGAACAAAATGTATTTTAAAGATCTTCAACTAGTGAGTTCGTAGTTTTAGGGATCACTTTTATTATAGAAAATTTCTTAACTTATCTCTGTTTGGAGAAATGTCAACTAGCTGGAGGACATTTCAAAACATATATATGAGCAGGTAAGTTTCGTGGAATCCCAAGATTCCTTTTTTATATTCGTTAATAAGTATATATCTACTCTGAATTATTATCAATTTAATTGAGAAGATTAAAATGAAATTTAACCAAAATCATGAAGCAATCTAAGTTAGACCACCGTTGCAAACCTAGAAGCAGTAGACGGCCGTTTTGTCCTAGTATAGGATTTCTCAGAAGTGCGATTCCACGATCCTGCATGCGGGAATCAAACACAGGACCTCTGGTCTTGCGCGCGAACTCCTCAACTCTAGACCCTTGACTCTGTACCCAACGGTGTACAAGTCTAATTTTAATAAATCTACGAAACTGTGCGACAATTCATCATTGTTTTCCGTGTGTAACTGCTTCATATCTGACGCGGCTTAGCTCTAAAGACAACGGCTACTCACTATAACTCTGGAAATCCCCTCTCGGAACTGGTCGCTAGTGAGCATATGATAATTGTCAGTAAGGGGTTGTTGAGATTGTTTAACCTGAGGGGTTAAATACTAGGACGAAACTGCCGTCCAGTGCTTCCAGGTCCTCAGTGGCGTTCTAGCTTAGATCGCCTTATGATTTCAATAAAACTCAACAATCTTCACAACCTCTTACTGATAAAAGAATATTCCTCATAACGTTTGATTTCCATATTATTCTTAAAACCCCCATGGTGGCTAAATAAAAAAATATATGCATGCTTTATTTCATTGTTGATCGTATATTACTGTTGACTTAATTATCTACCCCTTGACGTCAATTTTGACCTGTATAATTGATATACCTATTTTCATATACCATTCTCATATATTGGTTATCAATCTAGAATATTTCAGGGCTTTGTTCTAAATTCAAATGCGGTATCGTCAACACACTTTACATATATCACTAGCTGCATGTAGTGTTTCGCTGCTAAGTGTAACATAAAACTTTTAAAGAACACATACAACATTCGTTATGCACATTTGCTGAACACAATTAACTGTTCACTTCGTGGTTTGTTTAAAAAGACGTTTGACTGAAGAACTGAGTAGCATAAATTGGAAAAATGTTACGTTACAGCTCACCAACTTGCCTCTATAATCGTGTGATACATTATCCAGACAAGTAGATATCGTATCTAATCAAATATGCTCCCATTTATAAATCTGAATTTGAAAGTAAATAGATTTGAGATTACGTGTCTATAACTAATCTCCGAAGAAAATGATTAATAGAATGTTCATGCAATTGTGTAAACCATAATTGCAATCTGACAAAACATTACCTAAGTGACATGTAAATTAGATAACTTTTCATTAAGAATTCACAGCGAAAATTTGTACGCGTATCCACTGTTTAACAAATATCGCTCAGTTCCAGATGTTTTCAGTTAACTCGACTCAAACAAAGACTAAAATGGAGATTAATAATGCTATTCAGACCCAAGATATCGCTGTCAACGAAGATTATCCAACATAATAGTTGATATAAAGAATAAAATCTTAGCACCAGAATCAGTGAAATGTACTCTTCAAACACAAATCTCCCTGGAAATTCAGTTTATAGCAACTATTTTTGTAACAATAATTATTCATTTTCTTTCTAGTTTCAGTAATCGAATTTTAATTGATTACGTTAAAATATCTTTTCAACAAGTACAATGAGACTCGATAACTAGTATCAAATGCAAAATTGCAAGCAAATAACTTTATGCGCTTAAATGAAAAGGTCCATTCACCATGCTAACTATAGCCCCATAAGCATGATTTTATTCACAAAAATATTTTGGAGTTGAGAATTATAGTGTTGGATTGTTGCTCATTTAATAAAAATAATGATCACCCGTTATTTTATTTGCATGAAATCAAATCAAAGAAACAACTGATGAAAAGCAGCTCATTAAGCTGAGACTGCAGCGAAGCAAAACCATCTTTCAGATTCTATATTTAAAAGATTGTTACTAACAGTGACATCGTAAGGAAACATTACCTTTCTGCATAGTGTATTCTTCTATTCACAAAATATTTTGAAGAAATATTCAACCCCACTAATAATGAATTTGTTAATTATCATATCATGATTAACTTTGGTAAATTTGGAAGCTTAACCTATTTTTGTTGAATTGTTTCAGGTCATCGTTCTTGATACATGTTTGCTGTTAAATACAGACATCAATGAATTGTGGGATCATTTCAGATATTTTAAATCTTCTCAAGTAGGTCCTTGTGTGATTTTATAAAGATCTTACCATATAGTTAGCAGTTACTAGAGGGTTGTTTGCTTGTTTGTTTGAACACATAAATACTGGTACAAGGGGCACCAGATACATATACGCCACACACATCTCATTTGGTTTGTGTGAGGGCTGTGATACTGCCCGGGGGCCCAAACCGAAACAGGTGGATTCCTTAGGTGGCCACATCCGGAGCCTTCGATATGAAAGTCTGATCCACAAGGCAGTGGAGCATCGTAAGGAGATGCAATCCCATTGTAGCCGGTGACCAACGATTGGTTCCTACGCCATTTGTTCCTTCAGGATACTGGAGCTCATGTGCACCACTGGTTTGGAATCAGGGTTTTCCAACTCTACAAGAAGGACTCTCCATGTCCACCAACCTAGTTAAAGCACCGGACGTTCGCTTTTCGCCCTCTCAATTTCGTAAACAACACCCGTAGTGCGAGAAGGCAGTGAGTATGATTCCCTGGCAGAGGCTATATACGCGTGGCCATGTGAGAGCATTTCGAGAGGGAGAATGGACTCTTCTCACTCTCGGCCTTACCAGGGCATTTGGGGGCAGTTACTAGAGGGTGATAGCCAAGAAACAACTACCTTGCGGACATTCGCACCTAAAATTATTGGTGTATGACGATTACTGTAAGCAGTAGTTTACTTTCACTAGATGTAAATGTTTTTTTGCTTTTATGTATTTTGAATTTACATTTAGTTCTATACTTCTTACCTAGTTCGGTAGATGCATTCTTTCATTCTTATATTTAGGACGCTTATAGTTCCACAACATACTTAAAAAGTTAATGGATATGAACATGAGTTGAATCCTACTGAAACAAGTTAACTAATTACCATCTGAGTTACCCTATGGCTGAGAAACTAATCAGAATTATGTAAAGATCTTACAAATCAATAGTTGTTAAGGTATAGTTTAAGGACCTACTACCGGTGTTATATCAACTTCGCTTGCTTCAACCTTAGTATTATAGCCTATCAAACAATAACCGTCGTTTTATAAGTATCTATGGATATTTGGCACACCCAAAAATGTTTGTTTATAATTAGAAAACGCCATAGAAGAATTAATATATACTACACTAGTGCTTCAGATAATACGAGAAATAAACCGAAGTACTTATTAAAGTTGACTCAAAATGTTTGTTTCTTCAACATCAGATAGTAAATTGTTTAAAGAAAGGTAGTAAAACAATTTCTTACTGATCATTTATCTTTTAATGAAGGTGAAATTATGGAAAAGACTACACCATGAAATATGTCGGTCTAGTAAACTGAGTAATATAAGCAATCTTCTTTACTACAGTAAATAGACTATTTTTCATCCAATATAAGATTGTCTTCATCAACAAATAATCTGTAATAAAAGTGACAAAAATCGCCTAGAAATATCAAATCACAACCTATTAGCTCATCTGTAACTCATTAGATGTAAAATCCTTGGATTCGATATCCTAGGTAACGCGATATGTTTACCATCGATAAATTAGAAGAATTCTCTGTTAATGAGTGTCCTTTTCAATTAATACTTGTTCATGATATAACCTGTCTTTAGGGATGACATATATTTCGTTTCCAAAAAAAAAATTAAGCACGAGAATGAATAAACATATAATTTATATTGAGTCGCTACCAACACTTTTTTGCAGATTTTAGGAGTGACAATGGAACAAAATCCCGAGTTTGAGGTTGTCATGAAGAGTCTAATTAGAGGCTGGAGAGTAAGTAAAAACAAAAGATTTTTAATTGTAGTGGAGAATTGGTACTTACTATTATTCACAGTAAGATTATTTAGAATCCGCTGATTGCCATCTAGTTAATTTTTTCCGTGATAGTGTAAAGTATGCATATATAAGCATATTTGATTTAACCAATTAGAAACATTTGTGCAATTTAATATCTCAAGGGAGACGAACGCCACAAGTTTGAGTTTCAAGGAGACATCAAATGTTACATTTCTCCACTTATGTTATAAAAGTTGGAAGTACCAAGCACCTGAAACCGTTTAGCAATTCCACCATAATTCCTCGATCAATTACCCAGTAGACTGTATCCTTCAGTACAATAGCAACACCTCCAGCAGCGTAAGATAATTTAAAGAATATCCTTAGTATGAGTTCTAATCATGTGTATAAACACTAGTCCATTTTCTGTAGAGTGGCAAGCTTTGTATTTTGTGTATATCAGTTTGTGGAATTCGATTATGATAAAGTATCAACTGTACACACTTGATTTTCCATAAGTAGTACAATAAATCCACAGTTCTGAATAAACCACTACTATTTCGAATTCAAAAATAAATAAATAAGTTCTATAAGGCAGTATTGTAAAACGTGATTTCTTAAAAGTGATAAAAGTATTACAATGTTATATTAGCTATAACTTTTCACAGTAAATAGACCCACATACATCGCATAAAACTCCAAATACTCCTAACAGGCTAATTAAGGCATTAACGAAGTGAATGATCATACAGAATTGAAACGGGATAACTAAATTACCCTTAACGCTTTTAATGTTATTTATCTAAAACTGAAGTTCGCATGAACCTACTCAAAGCGTTCAAATAACTGGGTATCAATTTTACATTATTATTAAGTCTAGAAGTTTTCCAATTTTAAAATACCCCATAACTTGAAGAGCTTCGAACTATCGATATGTTGATAAAGAAATTGTGTCCTTTTGTACTAATTATCAACAGTATTTGTGAGAACTTAATCGAGTCAAAATTACTACATGTAAACACCAGAGGACTTAAATCTTAGCTGAACTAACGTTTCTGAACATCTTTAAGATTGATTTGAGTCTCTTAATTACCAACACTGTCCACATCAGAAGAACTAGTAACCAATAGATGAATTAGTACAGTACTTCACTGCATATAGTAGTGATCCAACTAGGTTATTCGTGGTACTAATTTCGTTCAGACCGAAGATTAACTACACATCCACTTACCATAGCCACTTTCATAATAGTGTTTTTCAGTTGTGGCTATCGTAAATTATTCAAAGTTGAACAGACTCATTGTTCACAAAATGTGAACAGTTTTTAAAAAACCCATTTTTAAAGCTTATGTTCAAGTGAATCCAAATTATTGATGGTTAGATAGTTTACTACAAACGTGCATCACATACATCTCAGTTATTGATGCTCAAATCCAAATCAAATAAAAGACAGCATGAATTCGAACCCATGATAATACTTTTTTCGAGATTATTGATTGGTCTTGTTGGTAATTGTTCATAATCTTGAGACAAACTTTCATCACAACTACCTTTAAACGGATACATTAAACTGATATCATTAGTGCCTCACAACTTGGTATGGTTGTAATTATGCATCTTTTGATTATATTACAATGATCAACAATTATAATGTTGTAAGCAATGATGGGTAGTGGCTAGCAATGGAATCCAAGACGCTCGTTTCATCCATTTTGGGACTCGTCAGCTGGATGCACCTTCATCTCAGAGTTGATGCTCACTCTGGGACTCGAACCCAGTACTAAACGCTTCAGCTACTGAGTCCTGCTAGCCACTTGTTTGTGCAATGGGGTGAATTTAAATTCACTTGGTATTGTTTGGCTTGTATCTTCCCATTGAGGTTTAAGACTGCAATTGATCAGTCTGTTATTGGCGTATATGCATAATGTGCGTATGCCTCGATATTGTCTTAATTCACAAGCTTTTTGTAAGCTCGTCCCAAATAGGACGAAACGCGCGTCCTGGATTCCACTGCTCGCCACTATCCATCATCGCTTACAAGAAGCTTGTAAATTAACACATTATCGAGGCAGTCCGCACACCATGCACATATGCCAGCAACAAACTGATTGATTGAAGTCTTAAACTTCAATGGGAAGATACAAGCCAAACAATACCAAGTAAATTACATTGTTGGTTGAATCTGACTAAAATCAAATGATTCATTTGTGTACAAAACAATTGCTAGAAATACCTAGTTCATAGAATATTTTCACTCAGTTTCATAGATCATTCACTCTAAAACTTCTGTAATACAAAAACGTTTATAAATATAAGAATATCTGTGTGTAGCATTGATAGCGATTAATGGTTAGATACATTTGAGCATCTTTTTAACTAATAAAATTTGATATTTTAAACTGCTTCTTTTACTAGTGAATTAATCGTAGTATTTTTGACAACCTTAAATACCGAGAATATTATGATAGAGTATGAGATAAACTAGATACAGTACTGTGTTTAACTAATTTTGTCATTCATGTATCTAAATTACACTAGTGATCATTCTGTCAAACATTCCATTGATAAATATGCGTGCATAACAATTTTTAAAATTAAACTGAAACAACAGACCTATTGTCTAATAATCATGACAACAGTGATTTATTTTGACAAATATATGCTTCCAGAATAACTCCGCTCAGAAACCTAACTGATATTTTTCCAAATGAAATTGACATATCAATAGTATCATGTAAATAATAGTTTTGTGAATGAGGAGTCAGCATATTGGAAATAAAAGCCTTGACAGTCAATGATATTTTTGTTCGAGATACTATTTAGTGCTCTTTCAGTTCTTATTGGTTTTCATTATGAATTAAGGTCAACTGAAAAACGACTCAGAACAAGTATTAAGCTAAATAAATCATCAAGGGATAACTGTAAAAATAATAGAACCTTAAAACAATTAGTCCCTTTGATAAATGTACCGTTCGCTTCAAACGCCATCGCGTTATCCACTTAGCTACTGAGTCCTGAGTTCGAGTCTCAGAGTGAACATCAACTCTGAGATGCAGGTACATCCAGCTGACGAGTCCCAAACAGGACGAAGCGCGCGTCCTGGATTCCACTGCTAGCCACTATACATCTTTGCTTATAATCTTGTGACCTGTTTCAATTATATGTTTAGCAATAGAGGATGATGGATGTTTATCCTCTGCTCTTATTGGGTCACTTGATTGTATTTGTTTCTGCAGCCATTTGGGTACATGTTCACTCAACCTAATGTTGAGATCACGATTGCTCCTCCCTGGGTATGTGTGACCACACACACATTTAAATTGGTAAACACAGTGGGATGTGACGCAATCGTTTCCATGTACTTTAGGTTTTGAATGAAGCATGCACCTTGTTCTTTCTTTGATGATGACCTTTGCTGCACAATAAGTTTTATTAATGACTGATTTAAGTCTTTGTTTCAATAAAAGGCTACTTGAATCACCTCTGAATGGTAAGGTGATGTAGACAGGCTTTTTCTCTACTGAGACTACATTAGGTCTCGCTGTACCATGGACTTTCCATCTATTTATGAATTTCAGAGGATAGCCATTTTCTATTAATGTTTTATTTAGTAACAACATCATCAATGGCGTCATTTGTACAAATACGATCGAGCCTGTTGAAAAGACATTTTATCAAACCACGTTTGTATTGCACAGGGCAAAAACTATAATAACTAAGATATTGACCTGTCCACGTTGGTCTTCTAAAATAGATCGCTTGACTGAGCCATTTTCTCGTCTACTCAGAAGTACATCTAGGAAGGGAAGCTGATCGTTTTTCTCCTCTTCACATGAGAGACTAATATGGTTTTGGACTGTGTTAAGTTTATTTAATAAACGGTGCATAGTTATGATAATCTTCGTCTTCTAATAGAACCTTAGCTAACAATCAATTTATTCAGTATTATCTTAGTTGACGATGACTGGCTGACTGAAATTCTAAATGATTAGGTTTTGGAAATGAGCTTAAGATTAAAATCAATAAATACGTGAATTCACGTTTTAGTAATTATCTATGTACATAACCTTAGATCTAGTGTGATGATTAGGAGTATTTAAATTACTGTACGAATTAGGAATTCCAGAAATAACACCATTTAACCAAGAAGAATTATATGAGCACTGACGAACGTATTGTATTTGGAATTCGAAATCAAGCACCCGTCAAGTACAAAGGAATCATTAGTTCATACAAACACCGTATCTATACACCACATACAGCTATTGATTATGAAACCTACTTAGACTGATTAAAATATAGAATGCACTTCTGTTCATAGTTCGTTTGTGTTCCCTTACCTAAGTAATAACCTTGTTTTATATATGTTATGTGATTAGCCTACGGTAATTTCTAATTACGAACGATTTAGATTCTTCTTATACGGACGGAACTAATGCCAACTTGGCAGGTGAGAGGACTAATACACAAAACTTCAACAATAATCCAGGATTCTATGGAACACAGGAAAAATTTAGGAGTTCATGTGAAAATTGCTATTCAAAAGGAAGACAAATAGAGTGTTAAACATATGTGTATATGCAACAACAAACATGATCTAAGGATACAGTAAAATTAGCAAACAAAAAGTAAAAACAACCACTCAAATAGCAATAAAGGTTGTAAGAAAATATCCATTAGAACAACTGTTATGACGGTTATTGTCACTGGAAGGAACTGACGTTTATTTGCATAAAGTTAGATAAACTTAGATCGCTCTAGCAGCAAAATTGTTCCAACTTAATGATAATCAGTCTCAAATTTGTTCACAGTTAATAATAGTAATCATTTGAATTAGAACGTTCGATGAAATAAGATTTTAACGATTAAGGTCAAAACAAGAGAACATTTCCAAAATAATAATGAGACGGAATTCAACCACTTATCCTAACCCATTCCATGTATATTGGTTATTTGTGGATAGTTTCTATTACGAGCTGATTTCATCTTGAAAATCATTGGGAACTAAGCAGAATTGAAAAAATGTTTTGTCATAGTTCAGGGTTCCTCTGTAGTCCACACATGAATTCTGTTAGGGGACAGACCCAAAACATTTAGTTTTTGGACCAGGCACGTTACATTTAAACCTCTAAATTTTTTATAAATCATGGTCCAGCCGATTTCTGGTTTAAAACATTGACATTAGCGTTTAAGTATTCCACACTCGACATGGTTGAACTCCCCTACACACGACATTTCACCAGAACATCGGGATTCAATATCGAACCCAGTCACTACTGAGCATTTTACCATCATTATCAAGGTGGGTCATTTCTTCAGACTGGTTCAGTTTAAATAGTTTTTGCCACATACTGTAATTAATGGAATAATTATATTCGTTATTTTCTTAGCCACTTGTCACTGATGAAAATGAGCGAGACAGATATACACTAGTGTTAAAATATCATTTCCAAGCTCAAAATACTCTTTGTAATTTGCAATGCTTTAAGTTACTTAACCACACAATAGGTTGTTGCTAGGCTATTAACAGTTTATGTAATGAAAATAAACTATATGCTTGTATATTTATCATCAGTTTCCAAACATTACTTCCAATTTTATAACCTAATTTTTTATCAGTGATCAATATGGTCCGCATTACAGGTTGGTAGTACTAAGAAACCATTTAGAATCAGGGGATATCAGGTATTTCTTTCATATTTTAGTACAACATTTGGTTATAAGTATTCTCACAGATTTCCTAACATTGTCTTATCAACATCATGCTTTTTATTTCAGGGTTATGGATATAATAGCGGAGTTGTTTTAATGGACTTAGCTAAATTACGTTCAGCAGCATGGAACCATTTATGGATGAGTGCTATTAAATTTGTTATGAAGGCAACGCGTTATTTGTCAGCTGGGGAACAAGTAAGCGATTATCTTTTTTGTTAATCTTTCCGGAAATAAACAAACTAATTAATTTTCCCATGTGTTTATATCCTCCCCCATCGCATTTCGGAAAGTGACTAACATTTAAATTCAGAAGGCACATTTGTCTTGTTTGGGACCCATTAACTGAATGTTACTGCATTCAAACTTTGATGTTTGCTTTAAAGTTTGTTTGCTCTAGTCATCGTTTCGAATTGAGATAATAAAATGTTCTGAAATTACAAAATAAGTAAGGTTAAAATAACAATAACTATACTAGGTTGGTAGATATTATTTGAAATTGCTAATTTATACTATCTACTATTCTACAATGACTGCTGAAAAGTTGTTTGGTATCATTTACTCTAAGTAATACTTGATAAGTGGAGGCGATTTAAGGCAAGCTGCTTAGATTACTTTCCTGTTAATCAGTTGTCATCAACAAGATAAACTTCAGCATTTAGAAATTTATACTTTGTAAAGGGATTCAAACTAGATACATTCAGATCCACAACGAAGTGAATTAACAAGAGATGTTTATGTGTAGACTACCATCTGTAAGACTAGACTAAATACATTGGTGATATAAAAACTAACTGCAGACTCTGCAGGTAATCAAACTTACGTCTCATGTAAGTACTTCACAAAAATATTTCTGTTCATTAATCTAACTTATTGCTGCATAATTATGGTACAAAATTCTTCTCCATTTATTTACTAAATAAATCAAATTTTTCATTTGATGCAACCTGATCTTTTTTCAAACAGACTCAATGAATATTTACTAACTTATATAAATTACGGTTTTTCAACGTGGATTAAATGAGTAAAGTATGGTATACAGTTTAATCCAACAGTGATAGATAAAATAACTTAAAAAGATATAAGGAATCCAGGTTGTACAAACAGCCTTGGTATCTACATCATCGTATTCAATTCATCGTTCGTAAGAGATGCATCCTTTTCAACTTAGTTAATTATCTGAACAATTCTGGATATTATATATTGACATAGAATGCTTATTTATAACGTTTGTAAATAGTTATGCAGAATTTCTTAACAGTAGGTTGCGCAACACCTAACTGGCATAACAGTTATCAATGTAATATATGTCATATCATAACTGTGTATATTTTTATTTTATTCAAGGGTGTTATAAATTTAATCATGTTTAGAAACAATGAGACATTTTACAAAATACCATGTGAATGGAACATACAACTCAGTTCAGGTGTTGATGTACACAGATGTCCAGTTAGTTGGTTGGCTGAAAATTCTCTATTAAACAACAGGGATTTAATGTATGGGAGACAACCTAAAATTGTGTACTTAAACCATCAAGTAAAACCGGAATATCTGGACTTGGAAAATATATTAAATGTTGATACCAATGTATCACTTACGACTTATAATGGTAAGTATCATTAAAATTACTAATGAAGTGTCCTGGTAGGCATTGGATACTTTTGTCCAGAGTCTGACAGTAGTCTTTAAAGCATTAATAAAGTATAAAATTTGAATTCATCATATAGATGACATATTTTAAATCAAATACTTTGAACAAATACATCAGGTTTGAGACACCTATTAGTTGATTTGTATCTTCTTTGTATTATGGTCAAAGACTCTTACTTAGATCTCCCATTATCTATGACTAGGTTTCGAAAGCTAATTCGCATTTAAAGGAAAAGTTTGATAGAAATGAAGTTAATATCTGTCCAGAAGGACCATCGATACTTTCCAAAACTCCCTGATTGCTTTTGTATGATATTATGTTGTAGCCAAAATAATTCCCACCTCATAATCAGCTTGCTCCATCACAACCTATAGGCTAAATTAATCTGAAACAACCCATCACTATTTATGATATTGACAATTAAATCATATGATTTAATATTTCACAAGTATTCAGAATAGACACTTTATGGACACTTTATAGACACTTTATGTATTATGTAATCATGTTTCAATCAAAATAGAATTTGTAATGAAAAGAAAAAAAATTCATTTTATAAGAGATTTACTTATTACGTAAATGATATTCATGATCATATACAATGACATATTAAATAATGATTATTTTTATTCAATAAGTGCAGAGTAACCTGTACCTTATAGATGCTTAATTATAATGTGAATGAGTTGTAAATTCATCAGTTAATGCTTTGGAAATGGCTTGTATCAGTAGCCAAATTTAGTTGTCAGTGTTGGGTTGTAGAGATTGTTAAATTCTTATTGTGATCACAAGACGATTCAGGTTAGATGTCTAGTGAAAACAAGGAAGCACTATCCGGCCGTTTCGTCCTAGTATGCGACTCTTCGACAGTGCACACCCACGAATCGAGCTCAGGATCACCAGTCTCGTGAAAAAACAATTAACCTTTAGATTATTGGAACGGACACTAATGATTCAAAGGTTTAACTTCAACCAATCTGTCAATAAAAAACTTCCATGGCTCGAAGCTGAAGGATCAATGTAGAGGTCGTGGATAAGTACTGCTGAGGAGTCCCATACTGGGACGAAACAGCCATCAAATGCTTACAGGTTTCCAATAGTAGTCCAAATTTTATCGGTTAATGATTTAAACTAAATCCATTACTCACCAGAACTGAATATTATTAATATCATACCGTCACTTCAGTCTCATAAACAGAAATGAGCAGTTTTTAATTAAGGACACTTCGATTATAGGAAAATACCTAAGCTTTACTCAGCATAATAAATGACTATTTTGTTTTCGGCCCACAGTCTACACATTACTACTGAATGTTTAAGACTACAAATGAAATCGCAGACAAGTTTAAACAGCGATTATATCATTAAACATCTACCAACCCATAAATGAAATTAGAAACAGATTATATCTGAAAATTTTTTCCCCAATAGTGTATCATGGAAAAGAGGAACAAATGTTTTTGATTTTAGAAAAGACATCTTACTGTATTAATATCAGACAATATAGAATGTTTTTTATTTGTCCATAAAACATTAAGAACGTTCATCATACAAATATGACCTTGGGAAACAAAAACTATCTTTGACCAAATTCGTCTTAAAACAGATTTAGGTTATTCACAACATTTTAATCGTTTGAAGATCCCCGTCATATTAAAAGACTAATATTTGAACGAAGAATATTCCTTTCGATAAATTCTCTTCAGGTCCTACAATTATATATCCAAATTAATAATCCGAAAAATGGTCAGGTTAAGGGCAAAGTACATAGTTTAAAGCATGTGAATTGTGGATTATGTTTTAAGAAATACAATAAAATTGTTAATTTTTTGATTGAGATCATGAACCGATTGATGTTAGACCACCATCGAAAAACTGAAAACGGCCGTCTAGTGCTTCCAGGTTTTCAATGGTGGTCTAAAATCAGTCGGTTCATGATCTCAATCAAAAACTTAACAATCTCCACAACCCCTAAACTGAAATTTGTTAATGTTGATATGACTCACATAGAATGTTAACTTGAATCTGAGTATATGTTGAGTGAAATCTTAAAATCCATGATCAGAATAAATATGGGTCAAATAGGGTGAGACAGAAATAGTAGTGCAATTACAATTCGATCAAATAAGTAATACGGAGGGATGAATGCGAAGTGAATGAATCATGTATAGGAAAGATTAATAATGATGTTTAACCAATAATAATGATATAATAATAATAATAATAATACAAAGATTTATGAATAAAGATAACAGGGACAATTACAACTGACTACGAAAGGTCATAGCCAAATTAGACCATTCAATAGTTAAGATTACGATTGACTAATAAGTCTTGATGTTGGCCAGAGGGGGAGGAGTGGCTGAATATATTTCTTCTGTACGCATAGCTCCGGTTTCTTCATCCGGATGGCTACTCCTTCAGCCGTTTGACCAGTCTAACCAGTTTTGGCAAAAAATTACTTACCTTATAAATAATTGAAAAAGATTGTTTTATACTTGTACTATAACCGGTTTGTACAAAACGGGCCAATATTGAGCTGTTCACTTTCTTCATCAAACCTTTGTTTAGCCACGCTGGAAGGTGTTCGCGAGCACGAAAATGTAAATTCCTAGAACTTCGACCAATATAACTCGCTCCACTGGAGCAGTCGAACTGATAAATACAAAATGAGGTAGTCATTCGAGGTAATTCATCTTTTAGCCTCGGTGTAACCAGTGGGCGCGTAGAAAACACTAATCGCAGTTCTCTGGCGTCAAAAGATTTTTGTATTGTCCTACGTAATCTCTGAGTTAATATTTCACTAGCCGCATCCACTCTGAATTGTAGACGCATGAACAGGGATTTCTTCTTCACCGTCTGTATTTCGCCTATTTTCGCCTTCGTGATCATATATTTAATTATAAACTTTCTAGGGTAACCGTTCTCCCTGAGAGTATTATGCAAGGTGTTAAGCGCTTCAAATATATCCGCAGAACATATAGTGCGTATACGTAACTAAGGGTTTTGATCAAGTTTCGTTTGTACTGTAGAGGTACAAAACTCAGGAAATGCGTATACTGCCCAGTCTATGTACTTTTTCTGTTTGAGTTCATTTTTAACGATCCATCCACTCTCTTAGTCAAGCGAACGTCCAAAAAGGCTATTCGGCCATCACATAATAAACAAGTTTTCTTCAATCCGTCAACTCAATAATTAATTTCAGTCGGATTTTTAAATCTACAAATATATTGCCTACTCCACTGGTGGAAAATTTCACCTTCAATGCATACATTTGATTTGACTTATTTGTTTTGTTTCGTTTTTTCTTTTTTTCGTAGCTAACTTACTCTACATGGTATATCTTAAAGAATATTTTAAATATCGACATATCAGCCAAAAATGTTTCTATTAAACCCGGAAAAATGCACTAAATTTACTGGAAAGCATTTTCTGTTGTTACAGTTATATTTGTATACCCTTTATATGAAGCTGATATGTACACATATATCCAAGTTGAAAAAAATTTCATTATTAAATAAATGAATCATTGTAAATCCAAGTTTATGGTTGATAGTTTTTAATCTCAGTTTACTTAAACCAACTGTTCTTCAAAATTCCTTTTATCCTCTAGGTACTCTTTTAGCAGCATCAAATTACATCTCAACTTTTGACATTCTCACCTTCAGCCAATATTTAATATAGTGAATCCAAAGATTCCAGGCTAAATATCTTAATGAATTCTTTATTCGCAGTTTAAGAAGTCCCAGAATAAAATTTTCGTAGTTTAATAATGCCTGAATAGTTCAATTAGAAAGGGAAGTCTATCAAAGTGTGTTATACATTTATGCAGTGATATGTATCATGAAACTAATTACTGTTCGGACAATAGCAAAAACATAATGAAAACTTTAATTCTGATTATAACCTAAAACCTACAGAAATCATATAACTATGGAAGCATAAAGATATCTAAATCTACTGAAATGAATAAAGTGTATACGCATGAACTAAAAGGAGAATGATGTTATTAAATGATTAAATTGAATCTTAGAAGAAATAACATATGTACCAACTAATATATGAAAACATTTGTAACTAAGATAATAATATCGACAACAAAACTAACTCGTGGAGTCAATGATAATGTCTCGTTGACCATAAGTGCCTTGGAATTCAGTTTGTTTTTCTACAACCAGAACAGAACACTCACAAATAGGTGGACTTACGGAGCAATAAAACAACTAGAATCCATTTTGTTGTTTTCGATAATGATTTATAGGTCTCAAAGTCCAGCCGAATCCAATCGCAGATGTCTTATGATGACTTTTAGGAAGTTATTAAACCTTTACAAATCGTTTAGTAAACCGCTTGGTCAAGATACACAATCGTATTAGTTAAACAATCGGCTAAAATACCTGTCTTTATGGTAGAGATAAACAGTCACATTGGAAGCGCTGATAGAAGATTGTATAAGAAACTGGGTGATAATTGGATAAAGACACGTTACATTTTGATGGCAATAACATAATCACTAAATAGTCTAAAATTTATAGTAAAAAAAGTGTTTGCAACAAAGTTATAGGCTTCTTCGTTTTCGGTCTCATTTCGCCACAAATCAAACTTGGTATGAACATAATATATATATATATATACTGAATGCCTATTACCCATCGTAGAGTATGACTTGTCGAATGCAGATCTCCGACGAACTCTATTATGGGTTCTCGTTTTTAATAGTGTCCGAAGTGCAGTTCATCTGTAGGGGGTGTCCTATCAACCAACCCCCAGCTTCTTTTCCTAATTTTCTCTCTAGTTGGAAGTTGGTTTGTTCTCTTTCATTGTAGGTTGTTACTGATGGTATTCGGCCACCGGATTTCCGGTGGGTTCAATGGAGCTGGTCTATTCAACAGCTCTTCGGAGTGATCTGCTCATCTTTTCCGCTGTTCTTGAATCCCAGTGATCGTCTTGAGTGGTCGCTCTAGTTTATTATATTTCCCTTCAAGTTTCTTTGTTGTGTCATGTAGTTTTTTAATATATCCTTCCCTTGCAGCTTATTCCGCTATCGTTGATAGCTTTTCTACGTATTTCCGCTTGGAGGCTCTAATGCTCCACTTCACCTCTTGTTTGCTTCAGTATATTCAGCCCGTGCCTTGACTTGCTCTATTCTTGTTTGGCTGTTGTTAATTGGCGTCCTCTTGTTCTTCGTTTCTTGAATCTTGTCCTGGGTTCCTATAGAAATCCACTATTCCTTCTGATGATGTTTGTTGCGGCCCAACACCTCCTGACACACTGAAGTTAGTATCTCTTTGATCACTTTCCGGTTGTCCTCCATAGTAGTTTCGTCTTCTTTAATTAGATCTTGTAAGGCTTGGAACGTGTTGCTGGAAGCTACCTTAAATTCATTGAGTCTTTCAGTGTCTTATTGAAGTAGTATTAAACCTATGTAATGCTGTTTCTGCAGTTGTCCAGTGCTTCTTTAGCTTCAGTTTCATCTTAACAACCACCAGGCGGTGATCTGAAGCTATCACAGCTCCTTTCTTTGTTCGCGCACGTTTTCCATGGATCTGAACTTTTATTGATCCGGACATGATCGATCTGATTCTCTGTAGTGTGATCCGGTGAGACCCAGGTAGCTTTGTGTATGCGTTTGTGGGAGAATATAGTGTCATTTATAACCATCTTGTTGAAGACACATAGATTTGTAAATCTCTCACCATTTTCGTTTCTTTTTCCCAGTCCATGTCGTCTTATGATGTGTTCATACATGGAGTTTGTCATTTCGACTTTGGTGTTTAGGTCTCTCATCAGGATGGTCAGGTCCCTTCCTATGTATTTCACCGCGATGAACTCCAGCCTCTCACAAAACACTTTTTTATGGTCTCCATTACTATCATTGGTAGGTGCATGGCACTGTATAACATCTATTGTAATTCTTCCCTTCTTTGTGTCTGAAGGATACTCTGATGATCGTTTATCCACGAAATTCTCATACTATGCCTTTTGGCGCTTCCTTAGAGAGCATCGGTGCAACTTTTCGTGTGAGCGAGGTATCTTGTTGATGACCAGAATACAACAGCACCCTCCTGAAACTGATCTTTTTTCTTCACTCAGTCCAAGCACCTCCACGAGATATCTTTTTATTCAGGTATTTGAACTGTCCTCTCAGTGCTCCACATTGTTAGGACATTCCGTGTACCTATATTAATTTTTGCTCTGGTTATCAGAATGGGCATCGGTATTATGACTTTCGAAAAATATAACGTCTGGTTAATTATTTCGAACTACATTAGAAGTTCGGTATTTAATTAAAAATTATAATCATAAATATATAAAATATGGAATACTGTAGAAATAAAGTCTTCAAGCTTGTTTGAATATTTCTGTTTTTGAATTATAGTAAAAACTAAGGTCATTTATTAGTGATAAGAACAGCAGCCATGGAATTCAAATCATTTAACATAACAGTCATTCTGATTCTACACACTGTGAATTTTTCAAAACTTTGATTGATTGCCATAACATTGAACATATAATTGCACCCAGAATAGATTCAGTATGTCAAGTATGATACCCAAAATAAAATAAATTTTGAAGGCATCAATAAGAAATGTCCGTTGTGCTTCACTGGTATGATGATGTATATTGTAGGATACCAAATACCAAAATGGAACAGCACAAATATTTCTTGTTAGAATAAATGTGACGGCAAATAAAGAGGTTGCTATGGCAACGTATTTGTGATGTGACGAATATCCACATGTACGCAGAAACCACCTGTTTAGGGAGCAGGAAGACAAAAAGTTCATCTATAGACATATTTTTGTTATCCTCTAAATTAGATTACTAAAACATACTAGATAATGCGCTATATCTGTATTTCACATAATATTAGGATTAAAAATAAAAAAGGTGAATGTAAACGTAGAAAATACAAGAGTTGGTTACCGAAATTTCTAAACTAGAAAATGGGTTATCTTTGTCGTCATATAATAATAAACTAATCACAATGCCATTTAGCTATACAATTTATAAACAAGATTGAAAACTCTTTTACAAAACCAACCTAATTTAAGTTTTTTCATTTCAATACTGTTATAATTGTTTATGATGTGACTTGTCATTTAATTGTAAATGAATATGACGTAATCCTGACTGACTAGCGGTGATAAAATCTGGATTACCTAGCTAGCGTCATGAACACTCTGATTTGTATTGATATAAAAGTACAAAAATTGTTTCCATTCTTAATCAATGGGAACTATAAGACAACTAAAATGTTAATAGCTGCTAACAGTTTCTTCCAAATAAACAATATTCAGCCACTTTCAAAATCGTGACTGGAAGGGTTGAGTTACGTTTTGTTGAAATTTTGGGAACTTGTTTTACGACATAGTTACGAGTGAATGAATTATCCATACAAATTTACTTTTTTATCTATAGCAGACCTTGAAGTAGGTGTTGGTAGCCTTTATGATGCTAGATATTTGGGTCTTGTCGTTCCATCATAAAGCTATTTATCTGAATCAGTAGTCTAAATAAACATACACTCCTCGTGAGTCGTAAGACTGTTCATTTAAACCATAAGGAAATTAAGACACCTGATCTAACAGATATTTATCATTCAAACACCTTTAATTCACTAAAATAGATTCAAGAGAAAAAATACTGTAAAGAAGGACTTCAGACATTTTATTTTCAAGGTGAAAACTGAAAAGTCATATGATATTAATGTTAATAGGTGCTTGTATTTGAGTTAATCAAGTGTCTTTGTATTGCCAAATAAATTCGGATATTTCGAAACGGTTTGTACGGAGGCCTTCAAAGTTATTTATTTACAAATACTACCACATAATGCTCTTCATTCTAAAACAATTTTGATAAATGAGAGAAAAACACAAGTAGATGCCCCATTACTTGGATACCAATAGTAGCTTCCTCTGAAGTGAAGGTTTTTCTACGATTGCAATAGTAGTATCATTTATCTGTCTATTTTCGTCTAATGTTACGTAAAATATACCGACAATAGGTACATTACTATTTCTAGCTAAATGATAGTAAATGTTTTTAGATTACTTAAAAGTAGTTAATAATTTTTGAAAAAATTAAATACCTAATGACGATATGCGGTTGGTATTCGCGATACAAAATTACGAAATGGAAATAGTCTAGAACTTTCTACAGGCTTTTACAAAAGTGACTTTGGTGTTGGTTGGATTATTCGGATGTATGCATTATGACTGTTAGAAACTTCGTTGTCACAAGAAATACAAAAACGCTGATTTCTTCTGTTCCAACCTCCAATCTTTTACCAAAATGACATCTTTTATAAAATCAACTGTTCTAAGCCTTAAAGAAACGAATTTATATGTGTTACAGTACTTGTTCCTATCCTGTGTAGTTAGTTCCTGGTTATTTTACACACTGGGAAAATCATGTTACATTGTTTGTGATATCACTGAGTCTGTGATTTATAACTAACTGAGCTCACCTTTTTGATATTTATGTCGACAAACAATGTTATTTTTATTATCAAATCTGAACACAATTAGATTCCCTGTT